CCCAGCATCTTTGTAAATTGCTTGGAAAAATGCTTCGGGACCCTGATGGGCAGAGACCCCAGGACTTCTGGCTCACCCTGCCCTGAACTCACCTGTCTTGCAGGGCCACGCCAGAAAACTAGCTAATTTTAACCAGGATGCTCTCATGCCCTGGCTGAAAACCACAGTGGGGAGAGGGGAGTTGCTGGGAGGCCAGAAAGAGACAGACACGTGCTGCAGGAGCGCAGCTCTGCCAGGCAGAGTGCAGGCACGGGAAGGACGGCCATGCTGGCAGCCCACCTGAGCCCTACGGGGGTCTGGCTGTGGCTGCAGATGGGTGACAACTGGGGAAACCAAGGCACTGCTCAGCCTTTCTCTCTTGCTCCCAGGGTGTGTGAGGAAAGGCCGGCTAGGCACCTGAGGAGGCTGCGGAGCTGCCCCGAGGCAGGAGGGCTGGGCCAGCAGGGGAATGTCTGCCATTCCCTACATGGACAGGGTGCTTCCAGCCCACCACCCCCTCAGCCAGCCCCAGCAGGGACAGAAAGGGGCTTCAGCTGCCTCAGGCCACTGCGGCCAAGCCTGCCGAGCAAGGACGGATGCGAAGGACACCGCCTTCCCCTGGGAGCCATCCTGCACACACTTGGCTCACTCGCTGGCCAAGCAGCAAGTAATTACAGGAGGAAAATGCAACCACCTCCCGGCTGATGCGCAGCGCATAGGTTCCCCAAGACTGATGGTCAGCCATGCCAGACCTGCGTGCTCTGGCACTGTGACTTCCTGGTGCAGGGCTGCACCACCTGGAGAGAGTGTTCAGCAGCAGCTATGCTCACAGACCAGTCCAGTGCATAAGATTTTGAGATTTTGAGTCCCCAGAGCTTGCTTGGAAGCCTCACGCGTGAGCCAAGTGGGCTGGTCTCAGCCAAGACACACTCATCACAATGCCAAGACCCTTTTCCCTTCCCCAAGCAGGGAAGAGCACGATGCTGCTAGGTTACTCCAGTTTAGGAGCACTGAGGTGGTGGGGGCTGACAGATTGCTGAAAGCAGGGCACCCCAGGCCCTGGGAAAATCCCCGAGATCCCTTTGTCAGCCCAGCTGCAACCCCCCAGCCCTCATGAGCAGCTAGTCCCAGGCCAGGGACAACAGCCATCATCTGCCTGACAGCAGGGAGCAGGCACGACAGCCGCTCGCTGCAGATGCACAGCAGCACGAGCAGCTAATGATACCAGGCCAACAGGGAGGGAGCAGGTGATGATCAGCAGCCGAACTGCGGGGGGCCTTTGGGCTGCGG